GTATACATACATACTCCTAACTGTTGACCAGGCCACGTGGTGGCCCTGGATAAGAGACAGGACCAGGAGAGGATGCCGAGGGAAAGTCTAACCGCTATGTAACCCTGGTCTTGGAGTTTCCCTCACCACCATCTTGCCAGCACCTGTAGGGTGAGAACTGCCGTCGTGGTGCCCATTTCACAGATATAAAAACTGAGGCTTGGATAGGGAAAGCTAACTTGCACATAGTCCAAAAAGGATGAGTGATGAAGCCTGGACCCAAATGCAGGTCAGGTTGATTTCAAGACCCCAGTATCTCTACTGTCAAAGGGAAACACAGGGGACAAAGACAAGAAGAGGCAGAGGCAGGCTGTAGAAAACTCAGAGAGAGAGAGAGACTCGGATGTACAAAGAGACATGGAGCTAAGCCAGGCAGCACTGGCCTAGAGTCCTGGGTACTTGGAAGGCTCAGCCAAGAGGACTACAAGTTGGAGCCCTGCCTGGTCTACAGAGTGAGTTCAAAGCCAGCCTGAACAACTGTCTGAAAACTGAACCGGGCTGGAAGTCAGGGATGATGGCGTTCACCTGTGATCCCAGCGCCTGGGAGGCCGAGGCTGGCTACGTAGTCAGTTCAAGGTCAGTCTGAGCTACCTTAGACTCTATCAAAGGGAGGTTGCTGGGACTTAGGCCAATGGTAGAATTCTTTCCTGACATGCATGAGGACCCCGGGTTACATCCCCACAATCACAGGAAGAAAAAAAGTGGGGACAAGGAGAAACACTAAAAGACACAGGGCCCATGAAGCAGAGACCGGCAGCCTGAGGCAATGGCACAAAGGGAGAAGGTGGCAGCTGCAAAAGCAGATAAAGCCAGAGGACCCTGTGGAGAGGGGTGGGTGTCTGGGCGTGTGTCGGGAGGGGCCACGGGAGAGGATGAGGTGCAGCTTTGGTCCCAGAGTTCAATGCCCGTCTGTAAAAGCCAGGAGCGGCAGAGTGTTGGGCACCCCGACAGCAAGAGGGAAGGCTGGTTAGTTCTTGGTGATGGGGAAGCAAGGGTTGCTAAGGGGCTGCGATGAAGAGGTGTGCCTGCAGAGGAAGCTGGCAGATATGGGAGCAGGCTAGCCTGTTTGGCTAGGAAGGCCATGTCTGAAGTCGAACTCAGTTCTTCCACAGTGCCCAGGTTCTGGGACCTCGGAAAAGGATTTCTCCTCTTTGAGCTCAGTTTGTTTTTCTGTAAAATGGGGACATAAGTCAAGCACCTGCTTTATAATGGCCCCATGGGGATGGCTGTGCCAGTGGATGATGCTCTGTCGCAGAGATGGTTTTAGAATCAGCTGTCATCCATGCCATCATCACCAACATGGGAGAGGGCGTGTCCCTGTGGTTGTGTGAATAGGTGCTGCTCAGAGTTGGAGATGATGACGTCCGTCAGTGACAGCCGCATCACCCAGACACTTAGAATACCCCAGTCTTTTAAGCCAGGTGTGTTAGCACACACCTTTAACCCCGGCACTGGGAAGGCAAAGGCAGGTGGATCTCTGAGTTCGAGGCCAGCCTGGTCTACAGAGTGAGTTCCGGGACAGCCAGGGCTATGTAGAGAGACCCTGTCTCAAAATAAGTTAAGTATCTCCGGTGTCTAGAGTCGAGCCTAGGGTTTTATTCATTCACGAAAGGCAAGTGTTCTACCACTGAGCTACACCCCCAAACCCACTTTTTGATTTTCCTTTGTGAGAGTCTCACAAAGGCAGGCTGAACTCTAGAGCTTTCAGCCTTAGGCTCTGAAGCAGATGGGACAACAGGCCTATGTCTGTCACCGGGCCTTGCTTAAGGGAAGGTCTCTATCGTGCAGGGAGCAGGCATACAGACGGCGGGGTGCAGGTATCACATGTGTTTAGCAGGCCTACGGGTATTGCTCTCAAGAAGGTACGTGTTCCCTATGGGCCTAGCTGGGTAGAGAAGGGCTATGAGAAGGGACAGGTGCCTCTTAGTCCTTCTGGGATGGATGGGACTGGAGGCAAGGTAGGCTCTGAAGGTCTGGTCCTTAGGATGTGAGCACCAGGTTGAGAGGGCAGATGGCAAAGATGACCGGTTGGGGTGGCAGCTGGCTCAAACACACGGAATGCCCACCAAGAATTGAGGGTTACTAAACGTGTAGCAATAAACAGACGTAGAGCCAGCACAGGGAGTCAGCCGGGTGGACGGGGGCAGGGGGCTTGCCCAGAAGTCTGTGTCCCCTTTGGAGCATACTGAGAAAGAGTTTTGTGACAGAGAACAGTTTAGAGAGGCGGAGAGAGGCGATGCCTGGTACACCGGTGAGGGACAGGCATTGGTATGGACGTAGGGGGTGTGGCCGGCCTGGTGCAGCCTGGGAAGATGGCGTGAGAAACATGGCTGAAGGAGAAACACGTGTGAAGGAGGAGAAGAAAGGGGCATCCAAGGCACAGGAGCGAGAAACGTGTAGGGGGGTGGGGGAGGCGCGGAGCCCCGTGGCCAAAAGACTGGAAAGGTCTTATGTTACAGGATAAGAGTTGGGAGCAGCGAGCGTGCAGGTGTGAGAGACCCTTAGTGGACGAGACCTTGCAGGCCCGGACAGGCACAGGTGTGAGGAGGACCCACGTGGTGGCAGGGGACAGATGTACAGGTGACTGAGCTCTCAGGGCTCTGGGGCGGGGCGGAGAGCAGGCAGTGGGCCCTCTGCTGTCTGGGACCAGCGGGACAGGTGGGTTTGGAATACACGGTGGCAGAAAGTGTACTTTTGTTTTGTTTTTGGAGACAGAGTCTTGTGTAGCCCCGGGCTGGGCTGATTTCAAGCTTGCCAAGAGTGACCTTGAACTTCTGATCTTCCTGCCTCTACGTCCCCAGTGCTGGCAAATATCACTATACCTGGTTTATGGAGTGCTGGGGATGGGACCCGGGGCTTCCTGTTACACAAGTGCTTTGTAAACTGAGTTGCAGTCCTGTAGCCCTGTGAGTGTGTTAATAGAAAAGATGGGCAGCAGACAGAGAGAGAGAGAGAGAGAGAGAGAGAGAGAGAGAGAGTGACATGAGTGTTCCTAGGTGGCCTGAGGCTGTTTTGGAAGGTCAGGTATAAGGGTGGCAGAGGAGGGTGGGTGGGGTCATGCTGTAACTGAGAGCTCTGTGCAAAGGAAGGTGTGTGTGTGTGTGTGTGTGTGTGTGTGTGTGTGTGTGTGTGTGTGTGTGTAACAGGTAAACAGGTACTTCTGGAGAGGAAATTGCATGGGTTAAATAAATATAAAAGATGTGAGAAACAAATTCACTAAGACAGCTGAGGGAAAGATTTGGGGTGTTGCAGGGCACCGTGAGACATAAAAAACCAAATTGGCCACAGATTCAGGCCGAGGTTCAGCTTTTGGAAAACAGGTGTAACTCGGGAGAGGCAGCAGACAGGGCTCCTGTTAACTGAGAGACTCTATGCTAATGAGCATCTCTGGGGCAGGCTTGAAGGGTCAAGGGCTACCTGCAAGGACCTGTGAGTGCCCCAGAAATAGATGAAGGGACCCTGTGACAGGTCAAGCAGGCCATGTTAGGCAGAGGTCCAGATGTGGAGAACTCGGTGAGTTGGTCGTCAGGGTGCGGGTGGAGGGTGTTACCTGAAGCACAGGTGTGCCTGTCTTCCCAGGAGCCAGCTCGAGCTCACAGGTTCCTCCCGCGGCTCCAGCTCTGGGCTTGGGGAGGCCTGGGCCTGCCGGGCAGCTCGGGCTCCTGAGGCTGTTTGGCGATGCGGAGCGCGTCTGGGCCTCGGCGGGCCGGCGGGGCGGGGGGAGCGGGCGGGGGGGCCGTTTAGCCGTGATAGATCCGCGCGCCGCTTGTCTCTTAATCTCCGGAGCGACCGATCGATTCGCTATTTCCCTTTGTTGCCAGAAAATTCGATCCTGGGCCTGGAATTAGGTCCCCGGCTTAATCTGAGCGGAAACCAGCGAGGGGGAGACAGAGATACTGGGAGAGACAGAGACGGAGAGATAGTGAGAGACCGAGAGATGCCCGCGGAAGAGAGAAAGACGTGGAGATAGGCACAGGGATTCTGGGAGGGGTAGTCTAGGAGTTAGTGCCCAGGAGGTAAGAGACAGACAGATAAAGAGTTAGAGAGGCAGAACCTGGGAGTTTGTCAACTCCTGGCTCCTGGGGGAGCTGGAAGAAGTCACAGAGATGCCCACAGAGACGGTGAGGAGAGGAGATGCGGCACAGGTAACCCAACAGGGCTGGTGGCTGTGGAATGCACAGACAGAACGGTGCCCAGCACATCCCCACATCAAAGTTCAAGGCTAGGCACTCCTTGCTCCCAAATGGGCTGACCCCAGGTGGGCTCCAATAGTCCTTCCCACAGAAGGTGTGACCTCTCGCACCAAATATGAAGATCCAATTTTGTAGATGCTCAGTTTTGAACTCCAGCCCCAACCCAGATCTCCTCTCTCCTAAATCCCAATCCTCGGTACCGCTCCCCAGCCCCGACGAGGCAGCTCCATCCCCAAACAGCTAGGGGCTTGAGCACCAAACACCTTGACTCTAGGCTCTAAGCCCAGGTCCCAAATATTCAAGCCCTCAGACTTGACCTTTAAACCCCATGGCACTCTGGTCCTAAATATCCACACTCCTCAGGCCTGAATATCCAGACCCAAGCTCAAGTCAGCCTTCAGTCCCCATCCCAAATAGTCACACTGCGTATAGTCTGTCCTGATCCCGTTTCCGAGGCTTCGACACTGACCCCCTTCGCGCCCCCCACCTCCGTACCTAGTACCCCCGTCTCAAGGTCCTGTCTCCAGCGCTCATCCCTCCCACCTCGCGCCCCGGTCCACGAGCTGCTCCGGAGGGATTCCCTCCCACCTCCCCAGAGTTTGGCGCAGCCGCACCCTGCTGCCCGCGACCCCCAGGCTGCCCTGCCTGGGGCACAATCCCGGCCCCGGCGTCTCTGGGGGCCACCTCCCGCGGCCCGGGCCCCCCGCCCCGGGCAGCAATCCCCGCCCCTCATCCCCGCCCCTGAGACGGCCTGCGGCGCTCACTCACTTTCCGCGCCTTGCGCATCTGCTCCGGTCCGGGGAGAAGTGTTTAAAGTTCGGATCCCGCAGCCATGGCCCCGCGGCGTCCTGGGAAAGGAGACCCCGGAGCGCGGGGCGAGGGACGCGGGACGCCCGGAGTCCCGCGGAGGTGGAGAGCGAGAGGATGGGGTCTGGGAGTCCCTGAGACAGCGTGACAGAGACAGGGAAACAGAGACGAGGGTGCTTGCAGAGATGCAGAGGAGACACCCCGACAGAGACGCGCGCAGAGGAGCGCGGGAAGCGGGGAACCCGGCTCTGGGTCAGGGCGCGGGGGACCGTGCCTCTGCGCCCCCTCCTCTCCTGCCGCCCCTCTTCCTCCTCCTCCTCCCTCGCTCCTCCGCGGCGCGGCGCGCTCTCCCGCCCTCGCGGCCGCCCGGCTCGGCTCGGCGCGCAGATATATGGAGGCGGCGGCGGCTGTGCGGGGGAGGGGGCGGGCGCGCGATCGATGGAATATAATTTTCCTCAAACTCGGAAAATAAAGTTCAGAGCTGATCAAATTTGAAAACAGATGTCGAATTGCGACTCTAAATAAGGTTCGATCCCGGGACTGAGAGAGTGGGGGTGGGGTGGGGGCGGAGAGACACCCCCAACACCTTTCCCCTTCCCGCCCCACCCCCTCCCTGTCCTACACCGGGAAGACTCACAGACGGACGGACAGGATCTAGTGGAGGGTCCGCTGCAGCACAGAGGCGAAGCTGGGCCTATGCAAGGACAGATGGATGGACACACATATATACATACATACATACACACACACACACTGCCTGGACAGCGGACTTAGGGACACATAGAAACAGTGACATAGACCATGCACAACACACACAGGACACAGCCTAGGCATAGGGACACACCGCCAAACACAGAGGCAGACATGCACACAAGTGCACGGATGTGCCCTCTATTCTAGACACGCTCCACACATACCCATCCCAACCCCCCAACCCCTCCCTGATCCACCCACACAGTACTGAGATGCACAGACTCAGGGCTACACGGTGACACCCCACACCATGGTGTGACCCTTACTGGCATACTGGACAATCACCAACAGAGCCCAGGGTGGACATATTGAGCTCTTTTACACACACACACACACACACACACACACACACGACACACCTGATCCGGGTCTCTCCAAATGTAGGTCTCCCAAGTGCATACCTGCTGTGACGAGGGAAACCCCCCAGTTGGCTCTCACTGAAATACAATATCAACCATCTTCAGGACCCCAGGAGCAGTTCTCCCATGGGTCCTCTTGTTGCAGCTGACCTTGCCCTCTACCAGGCCACCGTCTTACTCTCTTTCCCCTCATAAAACCTCCCTCTTTCTCTAGTCGGCATCACCATTCCCAGGTCAGGCTCCTCCCTGCTTCCAAGCCCCAAGAATTCATTGTCTTTTTGTTTGTATCTTATGGTGGACCCATGTAACCCAGGCTGGATTGGATTTACTCTGTAGGGTAGCTTAGCTTAGCCTAGCCTTGGTTTCCCTTGCTTCTCCTGCCTCCACCCCCCCCCCAAATGCTGGAATTACAAGCATGTGCCACCACACCCTAGCCTCCAGGACCTCATTCTTTGGAGGAAAGAGCCACCTAACTCAGAAGGGGCAACTATGTCTCAGGGTAAGACTGGCATGGCCAAAAATAGATACTTTGTGTCCAAGAAGCCTTGTGTGGCAGTCATCACTCAAACTACCCTTCAAGAGCAGAGGCTAAGGTGTTGTAAGAGTTCTTCCTTTTGTGTCAGAGAGGGTCTGCCCCCTCCCACTCACCATTCATTTGGCCAAGTCACTCATCATCCCTGAGTCTTAAGTTTCCTCATCTGAAAATGGGGTAACATGACAGCTACCCCTTAGCATGGTGGGAGGGCCAAACCCTGAGCTATGAGCATCAGTTCCCCAAATAATCCACTAAAACTTGCAAAGCTAGGGTTAGCCAATCCCATTCCACCTTGTTCAAACTCAAGGAGGTAGTAGAAGCCCTCCCCAACCCACTCCCTTCTCCACACCCCCACTCTCAAACGGGGGGGGGGGGGAGCATTGACCATGGACCCTCACTAGGGCTGCCCTTAAGCCCTCTGGGGTGATGGACATGACCCTGGGGTGTCTATTCCAGCACTTGAAGACTGGCTGCATGGTGATATTCCCCAAAGATAGAGAGCAACCCCCGCCCCTTTCCAGAGCAGGATTCTGAATATTCTGGAGAAAGCCATGGGACATTCTCTGTGAAGCAGAGCTTCCTCAACTGTATGAGACACCCTCTAAAGAAATGACCTACTGTGGGTAAATGTGACTCCTTGATCTGCACGCATACCTGTCAAGAAAGCTAAACTCCACCAGAGAGCATCAAGGACACTAGCTGGACTGGACATGGTGGTGCATGCCTTTATCCCAGCATTCAGGAGGCAGAGGCAGGAGGATCTCTGTGAGTTCCAGACAGCCTGGTCTACAGGGTGAGTTCCAGGGCTACACAGAGAAACCCTGTCTCAAAAACAAACAAACAAACAAACAAAAAACCAAAACAAAACCAACCACTAGCTGGAAACCAGGAGCTGGGGAGTGTTTTACTTTTCACTCCTGCCTCCAGAGGCTACAGCAACAGGATCTGGAGTTCAAGGTGAGCCTTGGCTGTGTGGGGGAGGGGGGGAGGGGCAAGAAAAGAAAAGCCATTAACTGCTGCACTTATGGTCATGAAGTGTCCTATGATAAGATATCTATGAAGGAAAAACGTCTTCGGGCTGTAAGTAACACCCGGATGACACACTCTATCTATCACACCGCACCCTGCACCACTCATGCAAGTAAAATCTTCGGAGTTTTAGCAACACCCATAAGACCGCTGAGGAAGGCTGTCCAAAAGGCCTCACACTTTAAACCCCGCCCCCGCCCCCATAGGAGAGGTGAAGACAGCCCCCCTGTCTGGGGAGGGGTGCAGCCAGAAATATCAGCGATTCTAACATCGTTAAAGAGTTTACAGTGTCCAGTCCAGGGTACAGAACACTCCCCGCTCCTCCAAGGGGACCTCTCTCGCCCTTGGAGAAATGACCAACGTGCATCTGATCCTTCAGGACTCTCTTGTTTCCCCCCTCCCCCACCCCAAGTGCCTCTTTGATCTCTGTAATGCCTTCTGGTTCAGGGAACCTTTGGGAGATTTTACATTCCCTCTCTGGGACCCTGAGGGGTGGAGAGGCTACAGGGAAAAAGCAGCCATCCGTGTGTGTGTGTGTGTGTGTGTGTGTGTGTGTGTGTTTGTGTGTGCGCGCGCGCGCGCGCACGAGATGCTCCCTCCGCAAGGCACACAGTAGGTGCACCGTAAAACTGGAGCTGTCAAGGCATGTACAGCATTCCTGTGCAGAGGTGTCACCCCCCCCCCAACCCCGGGTCTGTGTAGTCATTCTTTGGCAGCGTTGCCAACACCCTCTTGCCTGTAGGAAGCATCTCACAGGAGGGGGATCATTAAACTGTAGTTAGGTTCCCCAGGGGGGCTTGCTGGAGCACAAAACTGTAGTTAATGCCCCACAGAGAAAGGACGCCCTCGGGGTGTTAATGACCCTTAGGGGGGTGAGGAGAGGCTGTGGTGGGGAGCAACCTCGCCATACTCAGTGGGCTAATTTTTTTTTTTTTTTTTTTTAAACACAGAGAGGTCATCTAGGATCCGTGTTACACATGAAACTCACTGCTGCCAAGGACTGAAGAGGACTCTCTCTGGGAACTGACCCTCCTGGAAGGTTGCCCTACCCCCCACCCCACCCCAGCAGCTAACTGTACCGGGACTAGAGCCTGGGGCAATGAAGGGATTCTCACCTCCAAGCGCCCGTTGTTCCAGCCCCTCCCCCACCGCGGCCCACCAAGGCCTCAGGAGCAGAAGCAAGGCTTGCTGGGTACTGAATGAGCCTGGTCCTTGGACATTGACAACTGCCAATGCAGTGGACACCTTTAGGGGTGCCCTTTGCATCACACACCTGAGCACTCTGTGCCTTAGTCCAATTCTCGTAACCTACGAGGTATGTAATACGCTGTTACCTGCATCACCTCCATTTTAGCGACGAGGAAACTGAGGAGCAGAAATCACTTTTGCCCCTTGCTCCACAGCTAGGTGGTATTGGAGGTGGGTCTAGAGCCTGAGGACTTGAAGGCATGGGGTTTGCGTTCTTAAATACCCAGCTGTCCACTCCTCTACCGACAGTGCCGACCGCATCTGCGCCCCAGCTTTGGGCCCCCGTATTCCCAGACCACAGTCCATCCCCACCCCACCCCACCCCAAGTCTTTTGGAGCAGCTTGACCACGAGATCACTGGAAGGCTCCAGGTTCCCTGAGGGCAGGGCCTGCGTCTGATTCTTAGCACCCGCTGGGTCAAGCCCAGCGCTGCACACCAGGCTAGCGGAGGAGGCAGGAGGGAGCCGGGACTCCCCAGAGACAGAGGAAGAGCCAGCCGACAGGAATACGGGGAGGGAGGCGGGTGAACTGTGGATGCCAGGCTGGGGGAGCGAGTCTGATGGGGGAGGGAATAGCAGGCTGTGGCACCCCCTCCCCAACCCGACACCCAGCCTGGCCTAAGAGCCCCAGGGGGACCATGGGCGGCGGAGGGAGAATGAAGGCAGGAGCCGGTGTTCTGGAAGGCTAGATAGACCCCCCAGCCATAGGGGCAGAAGGAGGCGCCACGAAGGAATGGAAGGTGGAAGTGGGGAAAGCCAGCCAGACAGATGGAGGCGGGAAGGCTTTGGGAAGACAGAGATGAGGAAAGGGGCGGGGGCTAGGGAAGGACAGACGACAGGGTGGGGCAGGGAGGGCACAATGAGGGCCCGGGAGAGAGGCCTCGGGTGAGGGAGGACGGGCAGAGGGCATCTTGGGAGTAGGCGGACAGATGGACCGAGGGACGCGGTGCTGGCGCGGCGCGGCCGCGAGGCCAGGGCCAGGCCGAGGGCGCGCGCCGCGGTGGCCAGCGCGGGAGGCGGAGGCTGAGCGAGAGCGCGGTGTTTGTAGAGCTGTCGGCTGCGGTGGAATTATGAAAAATAGCAGGCATCGGAGCCGGCCTTCAGCTTCGATTAGGGGAGATGGGACATGACAGGTGCGATCAATACGCAGCCGTTCTATAAAGTGTCAAG